TGGTTAAAATGTACAAAGGTTGATCCTTTTTCGAGGTTAACATTGATATGTAAACAGATGAATATAGATTTATAGTTGTACCATTTATAAATATCATGATATAACATGTGGCTCACAATCAATGGTAGTATTAGTAGTTTGTTAATCTCTCTTTTCAGTTCTTATAATTTTGAATCGAACTTATTCTTTTCAAAAAATTCGGCATTTAATTCTCCATAAAATCATATACCAATGATTAACCACAAAAGTAAAAATAAATTATTAATTTAAGTAATACTGTGAACATGTAACATGAACAACTTTTTCAAATACTCTTTTATTTTGATTCATTGTTGCTTCTTCCTGTTAGTAGAATATTATTCTAAAACTTCAAAATACAACTTTTCGATGTAAGCATATGCGTTCTATGTGCTAAGACGCAATATAGAGCATAAGAAAGGATATTTCAGCTAAAAATATTCACAGAATCTATAATATGACACCGTAGCTTTCTAATGAAAAGAATTTTGTTTTAAAACTAATTTTTGCCTGACAGTAGACATGCTCATAAAATTGTCGACTGGAAGAAGGCGATCATTTTTTCCATCTAGTTCTAATGAGCCTTTTTGTTCGCGTGCGATACATAGGACAGAAATTATTTGTATTTCATCTTTATTGATAATTGATAAATATTCTACACGCTGAAAAACGAAAAAGAAGAAAATGTATATTTATATTCATGATTTTCGATAGATGTTTTGCTGAAAAAATATTACACTAATACTGTTATATGTGAATCATAAAGTTAAAGAAAATACTCGTGATTATATGCATCATACGTATATTTGACATTAATTATAACAAACAAAATGACAGCACTATCATAGTGTTGACATTGATTATCGGACTCAAATGTCGTTACAAGTACAAACATTGTAAATTGATAGTACGACTTTTTCTTGACAGAAAGAGAATCGATCCTCCTCAAATCCTCCCTTCTATAAACGTGTCTGCCTGAAGAGTGAAACATATCCAACTATTAATCGCCGATCGAAGTAAAATTTTACGCATGAAAGAAACTCAATTAGAATAGTAAAAACTTAATAGGGTTTATTCGAATTGACTTTCTTTATGGAGTTATCAATCAATTTATCTGATTTTCGACTTGTGATAGGGTATCCATAAATAAATTAAAAACAAGGAGTTTTTGTGTGAACTTTGACTCTTAAACAGTTCTAGTGATCTTTAGAATGTTCTGAAAGTTTCAGTCAACACAGATGATTATTTATCGACTCACCAAATATTCACAAAAAAACAATCATATGTCATAAAACTAATTTTTTTGCAGTATCCAATACTTTGAGAAGCAATCATTCATTGTAAATAATACTTCCAGGATATTCCAAGGAGCATGAGACCTATTTACGAACAAAAACTCAGATGAAAATTCCTTTCCTTTGATTTTTTCATGAATAGCTTGCTCAAAGGCGAAAATCTGATAATACGGACATATCTTTACAAGGAAGATCAATGGCAAAAAATCCCTTACAAAATTTCTCTAGTATGAGCGAGTGCTACTTGTTTGAAAAATATCACTTTCATCGATAATTAATAGTTGAATATATTATCTCATGAGTTGTATGAGTTTTTCTGTCTCGTGAAAAACTACAGGTAACAAAGAACGCGCTTGTTCCAATATTTTGAAGAAAATAAACGCATAGTTCTTTCTATATAAATTCTTGAATATTAGCAATAAGATAGAGTTTTTGAAAGTCTACAAAGTCTATACTCTAAATTATCGAAAAGTTATCATTATTGCTTGTTATAAGAGCTCACGAATACAAGAGAATGATATTTTGTTGTTTAACACATTCGAGGCGATGCAGCCTACCGGTGGGTGCCACTACAGAGCGACCCAAAAGTTTCTTTAGCACAGAAAAATTTGAATATCTCTGCCATATGTTGACCAAAAGGACTGATTCTTTTACCACTGATAAAGGAATGTTCGTAGATCATATCCATAAGAGAAACATTGCCAAAAGCTGTTTTGAAGTATTACAACTATCATGAATAAAGAAATGAAGCCTTTCACAAATTATAAAAAAACAATACTCGTATCGCCGCGAATGTGTTAAGGTTGTTAATACTATATGTTCGCAGTATTATACATAAATAAATGGTTTATTGTAACTTGTGTGCGAAATTTGAAGCAGTGACTTCAGTTATATCTAATGTTTTGGAGAAAATCTCGGTGTCAAAATGCTCTGCACTATTTATAATCGTAGTCTCTTGCCGACAGCTGGAGATCAGTTTAAGTGTGAATCAACTAATTGAAAGTGTCATGAAGATAATAATCCCAAGAGCACATCGAGATTTGAAAATGAATGGGGTATGGACACATGTAGTGCAAAACTCGACGGGTCATCAACGTTGCCTAATCTTAATCCTGTTGAAAACATGTAGAAACTTCTACAGATAAGCTTATCAAAGAAAATTAATTCTCTTTAGTTGCTGCTAACTCGAAAAAATGGATGGCCTTCCAAATAAAATGTGCATCAGCTCTTATGGAAAATATGAAAAACTGCATATATAATGTTATAGAAAATGATAGTGACTTCATATTATATGAATGATAAAGGCATTAATTCTACATTCGTAATGAATGAAAATATCCGATTGATTTGAATACTTCATAGAATTACAGGGAGCCAAGGACTTTTCTGGAGTACTTTATTAAGAAAATTCAAACAATTTCTCAACACTCTGAATCTTTGTTTGAAATCTTTAATAATAATTTCGATCGTCTGCTATTCATATACATCTTTATGACTTTATTTCAATTTTAATCTCTATATTTTGTATCAAAATGAGAAAATGATTCGCAATCAATTTGTCATTGGTAACATGATTTACATAAGTATAAACCTAGACTCTACTAATAGCATAATCAGAGACATCCAATTGAATATTACTGATGCACAAAAAAGATTAAAAAAAATACTATCAATCAATAGAAATATTTTCATTGTTTAAATATTTCCTTTCGACAGTTTAATTCGTGTTTTTTTCTTTTCTCGACATATCAGATAAAATTCATATTGAAGTTTATTCAAAGACTTTTCCTATCAATAATGAAGTGATAAAAAGACTCTTGTCACAGCTGAAATATAGATAATCGTTCTTTGTTTCTTAAATATCTATTGAAATCTTTTTCAGATATATCTTCATTCATTTATGGAATCTAAATTTTATAGTTAACATACTATACGAACAAAGTTAACATTTAAATGAATGTTTTTATGATCTGCTAGATAAACCTTTTATTGAAATGATTACGAACTTCTGCCACATTTTTTTCTTATTACTTATATCAATGTTTTAATTCTTTATTTATTTTTTGTTATATTTCGTTGTAAACATTGTATTTTGTAATGCTTGCCGTTACTGTGTAACTTTCGACAATGTAAAGTGGTAGTGACAACGGAATTATTTACAGATCTGTACTGTGGTCATGAGAATAAGCCGCAAAGTCCTTGCCAGATTATCTACGAAATTTTTCTATTATGTGATAAACTAGAATAAGATTTAATTTCTGACAGTTGAAAAATTCTTTCTAGATTCGAGATTTCCTATTTCATCAGTCAAAACTCCCATATTGAACATAAAGGGTGTTTCATAAGTTTCGGACCCATTTTTATTTTTATTTTGTTTTCACTGTGTTTAAATGTAAATAGATATTGACCGTATATTTTTGAAGAGCAGTATCTCGACCGTCATCCAAGAGGATTTGTAATCAATTTGCATTAACCCTGTGAAAATGCTGCATGGATGAAATTATTGAAAATATTCCATCAAATTTCGATTTTTAAAGGGTATTCCAGAACTTCTGTTACATTTTGAAATGTTTTGTTCTCGCGTTCAAAAAACGCAAACTTCTTGAGACTTTGGCAGATTATTGTACATATCAAGTATAATATACCTACAAAGTTTGAAGTCTATAGCTTTTACTATGGATAAGAATCAGTAACAAGATTGTCATGAACTAAATTTTCAATTTTCCTGATCATTTTGATTATTATAAAAAAAAAATACAAGTAATGGAAATGAAAAGAATAGCACAGTAATATAAAATGACAGATAAAATAGCAGCATGATTAAAATTGATAATTCATCAAGGCGTTTATGAGTGACACGAACATCGACACCTATTACTGTGCTATTCTTTTCATTTCCATTACTTGTATTTTTTTATGATAATCAAGATAATCAGGAAAATTGAAAATTTAGTTCATGACAATCTTGTTACTGATTCTTATCCATAGTAAAAGCTATAGACTTCAAACTTTGTAGCTATGTTATACTTGATATGTACAATAATCTGCCAAAGTCTCAATAAGTTTGCGTTTTTTGAACGCGAGAACGATACATTTCAAAATATAACAGAAGTTCTGGAATACCCCTTAAAAATCGAAATTTGATGGAATATTTTCAATAATTTCATTCATGCAGCATTTTCTTAGGGTTAATGCAAATTGATTATAAATCCTCTTGGATGACAGTCTAGATACTGCTCTTCAAAAATATACGGTCAATATCTGTTTACATTTAAACATAGTGAAAACAAAATAAAAATAAAAATGGGTCCGAAACTTATGAAACACTCTTTATTATTACCATTCTATATCTATCTTATTGCGAAGATAAACTGTCGATGTAATTATTGCCAATAAATTTTAGAAAAAATTTCCAAGCCTACATTAAGACTATACACAATTAAAATCTAGACAAAATTCTTCATTCTTTTATCTATCATAGTAAAGCTTTAAATATGTCGCAATTTTTTTTATTAATAGCCAAAAAAAAAGATTTCAATGCAATTTCAAAAAGACAAAAAAGAAATAGAGAACACATATTGTCAGAAAATACAAAACATAAACGCACATGATGTTGACTAGATAAACATGCAAGAGACTATTAATTATTTCATAGAAAGAAAAGAAAAAAAGGTGAGACTGAAAAGTTTATGACCATATAAATTTGACGACATGAGCAATGTTTTGACATTCTCTTGGTGCTAAAATTCCGCCAGCAGTATATAAACCGCTAAGAGTACAACTTTGACATCGGACACTAAAACGACATGTTACACGTTCAACAGAAGCTTTAAAACCATCATGAACAAGTTCATCAACAACAAATCTAAATTTTTTTGAATAGAAAAATAAATTCATAGAAAATTAAATCAAATTTTTCATACGCGACAAGTTTATCCATATCAATATGTATATCCGATTGTATGGGTTTAAGTTGTTGTTGAATTTGTAAATCAGCTGTAAGACCATCAAAAGCACAAGCTAATTAAAAAACGAAAGAAAAAATTTTTTGATATATGGAATTTAAAAATTCTAATTTTAAAATACCATGATTAACTGTAACAAATTCACGACTACAATTATAACATGGTATAGTTCCTTTTAATTTTGTATGATCAAGTTGTGTAATCACGACACGTGATTCATGAAATGATGAACGTTTTTCAGCTGATCGATTAATAATATCCATTTTCATATTTTCATAATCGGGTATCAGACGACGAAATGATTCACGTCGACGTAATGATATAACACATGGACTTGAACTTTCTAGTTTGGCTATTAATGAACTAATGCAAAAAAATTCTGCTTCACGTAATACATCTAATGCAACTGATTCCGGTGGCATTTGATCACAACGAATATAATTTAAAATATGGCTAAAAAAAAGCAAACAAAGTTGTTCATCTTTCCAAATACAACACATGATTCAAGAATCAGTTACATGAGCGTAAAAATTGAATATCTCTGACATAGTTGTCCCAAATAGGCTGATTTTTTTTCTACTGAAGATAAAAGGATGTTCATGTTTCATATCCTTAAGAAACATATTGAAAACAATCTTGTTGACATATCACTATTGATTTCTATATTGAAAGAGCACATATTTCAGCAAATAATAATAGACTACCTCCATATGATAACCTTCAAAGGATGTGTTCTTTTGTGAAGTTTTAATCGGGGTGTGGGATTTTTAACGAAACTGACTTATGAAAAAAATGTTTTAGTTTTCCGTGCAGCACTTCCGAGAGATTAGTTTTTCAAGATCTTTATGTTTTATACAATATCAATGAGGGACATTTAGATTTTGAACAATTAATTGCTCGGAGATATGGCATGCAATGCTTCTGAAACTCTGTGCATGAGTTAGTCTTATTGAGACGTTGATTGCGGCACAGTTTTAAGATAAAAGTTTGTAACTAAGATTTTATTCTTTCACGGACTGAATTCTCTAAAAATTCAATATATCGCTTAAAACTACACCAAATTGTGAAACTTCTAGAGAATGTAATGAGCAGTTGGTCCTAGATATGGACAAGATGAGCCTAAGACGAAAAACGATTAGTTCCACCCATCATTAGTTGATCTACTAGTATTTGACAAATATGAGTTTAGGGTCTTTGGATCAATTAACGAGATTGTTCGTTGAAAGTAATCAAGGAAGAGTGCACTGCCATGTCGAAGTTCATTGTGTTGCATCAGAACGATTCTCTTTCATATTTTCCTCAAGAATACTCATCATGAACATTCTTTTATCATTAGTAAAAACATCAATCTATTCGTTCAAACTATGACAGAGATATTCAATTTCAATCTTCATTTAACAGACCTTTGCCTCTTTCCCTACTCGTATCTGAATCATAAAACTAGTTAAAAATACTTCTGTACTATTCATTCAAGACAATGAATAGTTTATAAATAAATTTTAATAAGAACAAAATTTTTTGATTAAAAACAAAACATTGAATTATATTTTACAAATATTTTTGAAACTATTCTAATTATTAAACTTCTTAAACAAACAAAGATATTCTATAGCATTGAACAAATTGATTTTTTAATTTTGCAAGAAAAAAAATCTAAACAATGTCATACCCGAAATTACTTCCATCACGATCAATAAAAATATGTCCATCTTCATCTCTTACAAGGTCATATCTCCCACTAAACATAACTGCTAACATTGAATCTTCATATTTTCGTAATGTTGATAAGCTCGTTGTATAATGACAACCACCTACGTTAAGATCGATAACATTTGGAAACTAAAAAAAAAAAACAAAAGCAGAATAAAATTAATTTATTCGAAGAGAAATATAACCTACCATAATATCATCCTGAGTTTTTGGTAAAATAACAAGTTCCATTGGTGGTGTTTGATGTCGTTGTGTTTGAACAATATGTTGATTGTGTTCATCAGCTGATTTAGTTTTTAATTGGACTTGTGTTAAATTTTTTTGAATTTTATCAATTGGTAATTCACTATCTTCAGTTGGCATTTCAGGTGTTGATGTTCGAATCATAAATGTTTCGTTCATATCAGCGGCCATTGCATATCTATTTAAAAAAAAGTACATCATTTATCAAATCATTTTCAATTCATGCGTCTATGTTTATGTGTTTATTTAAAAAAAAAAGAAGAAGAAAAGAGACGGATGAGAAGAACAAAAGAAAACATAAAGGATGATCACTGAACTATGAAAAGAAAAAGAAATACGGATCACATAAAGTATTTATATGGAGCTGGGATGCCTTCACTACGTCCAGGTCGGTAACCGATGATGCTACCACGACCAATACATTCACCAATATAAAACCAAAATAATACTTCAAGACCGACGAGTGTATTTAATGAAAATTGCTATGTTTTTTAAAAGATAAAAATATAAGCTGATTAAGTAAACAAATAACAATATTTTACTTTAACTGTTAATTGACGCCAAGCACCAGTTGAAGCTGATTTAACAATTTGTTGTATTCCTTGTTGAATTTGACCGAATTCATTGGGCATTGGTGGTCGTAATTCAACACGAGCAAAATACCAAAATCGAGATAATTTTGATTGTCCATAACGTGCCACAGCTATAAATCAATTCAATGATTTTAATAAAAAAGATTACAGATAAAACTTACGAAGAGCAAGTTTTGGTACAAGAGCTGTAACACGATTAACAAGAGCAGCCATTCGACACGATGTTTTGAGATCAAGAAAAAACAACAAGCAATAACACGTTGTTGAGAAAAAAAAACTAATGCAATAGTTTTTCCATTGATTTTGTATATTTGCCTTTTCTGTTAACAAGATTAGATGAGATGTCGCTAATGTATAAAAGATTGTAAAAGACTATATGTTAGGTTTTTTTATGTTTATTGTACTTTGAAATTATGAAAACTATTACAAAAAATAAAATTGTTTAATAATTAAAATGAATGAAACGATCATTTCTCTTTCGAACTATTGTTTCTTTTTATATGCATTATCATGGTAATGTCGTTTTTTAGAAATTTCATCATTTTCTTATCTATTTCAAAACTGTAATTGCTAACAACAACTTAGTGACTAATGACAACTATATATATATCACGTTGTTCGATTAGTAGGATTGCAATAAATGAAAGAATCTATGATGATGAACAAATCAGAAGTAGAAGTAAATTATCAAGTGATTTCTCCTCGATTTTCCGTTCAAAATATCGAAGAACTTCAACAAGGTATTGAACATTTAAATGAACGTGGTTATGCTATATTTAGTGATATTCTTACGAATGATGAAATAAACAATAGTATAGATTTATTATGGAAACATTTGGAAAATTTAAAAAGCCCTTATGATATTCGACGTAATGATCCTGAAACATGGAATGAACATTGGTAAGTTAATTTAACAATAAATCAAAGATTTCGTAAAAAAAAAACAAATCTGAATATCTATAGGCCTGGAATATGTTATATTGGCCTATTAAATGATCATGGTATTGGTCAATCAGAATTTATGTGGTATATTCGTGGGAAACCAAATGTAAAGAAAGTTTTTTCACATATATGGAATTCTAATGAATTGTTTACATCTTTTGATGGAGTTGGTTGTTTTCGGGATTGGAATTTAAATAAAAAATGGAAAACAGATAGCGCTTGGTATCATTGTGATCAAGTAAATATGTTAGCTTTATTTTGTTTTGTTTGACTCTTTTGTTCGGTTTTTTTTTCGCATATAGAATCCATTCCGAAAACCTGATCGATGTTCAATACAAGGTTTTGTTTCTTTAACTGATAATGATGAATCAACAGGTGGTCTTGTAATTGTACCGGATTCTCATAAAAATTTTATTGATTTACAATTTATTCTTGATGAAAACCGTTTATGGGGTGATTTTGTATCGATTCCTCATGAAGTAATGGAAAGAGTACATCCTCGTTTAGTTAAATGTAAAGCAGGAGATCTGGTTGTTTGGGATTCTCGATGTATCCATTGTAATACACCAGCTCTTCACGATAAACGAAAAAATAATTTATTATCGGAGCCTCAACTTTTACGTATTGTTGCTTACATATGTATGAGCCCATTATCAATGTTTGAACCTGATGGAGTTCGGTATGAAAATTTAGAAGAATTTCGTGAATTAAGAGAAAATTTTGTTCGAAATAGAACTACCTGTACACATTGGCCATTAGAATTAATTACAGCTAGTATGTATTTTAAATAAATTAATATCTATGTCAATATATACTACACTTCACTGTTTCTTTTTTTGAATTACTTTTCATAGGAACAATATAGAGACCTGCGGTTTTCACTATTCAAAAAAGAAAAATCGACACCGTCGAAATATATTGAAATTTGATTGATCAGTAATACATTAATCAATGAAACTCTTAGTGAAGGTTTTCGAAAATGCTATTCTGAAACTATTTCTCTTTTGATCTAAAGCTTTTAATAAGACTAATTGATAGAAAAAAATCCTTATTTTGTAATCTACACAAGGCAGATATTTGTAGCTTGTTCCATACACAAGTTATAAGACTTTTTCTGACACCTCCGATTTTAGCTGATTAACCTATGATCACTCGAAGAGCAACTGGGTAAAGAGAATTCATAGTATTAAGTTGAATGATGATTTTTATTTTTAGATTTAAAATAATCTCACATTGTTATCCCAATATTTCAGAAATTTTGCAATCAGCCTCCATATAACGAGGAAGCTGCTATTTCAGAAATCTTGGGATAAGACTGTCAGATTATTTCAAATCTAAAAGCAAATGTCGTCATTCGCCTCTGCACGGCGAATTCTCTCTGCCTAGCTATTTTTTCAGAATGTTACAGGTCAATTGTGTTCAACTGGAGATCTCACGAAAAATGTACTAACTCTCAAACGGAATCAACTAGGAATGTTGGCCTTACGTGAATAGAAATAGGGGAATAGTTTCAGAATCTCAATTTCGGAAATCTATAGCAAGAATTCATCTGATTAATCCATTGCTGAACAATCAGTATTTGATATATTTCGATACGGCTCTGAGTTTTCTCTCTTGAATTGGTAAAAACTACAGGTCTTTATGGTGTTTCTGTGAAAAATTATTTAAAAACCAGGGAAGTACATTTACAATATTTTGAAACAAATAGTAGATAAATAAATATTCTCCTTTATTATAGGTCGATTATCAGATTATGATAAAGTTCCACTCAAACTTAATGCATATCAACATTCACTTATTGTTGGTACACATGTTGAACCAGAAAATGGAACAACAGAAATTATTTTTTAATTTTGATGTTCATTCACTCAACAAATTAACTCATTCATAAGAAAAAATAAATAATGCTCATGACTAAATAAAGAATGTATAACTTGTATAACTCTGATTTGATGACATTCGAAAATTTACTGTTGGAAAAGTCTGAGATTGTGCAGAAAAGAACGACTCTAAAAGTAAAGAGCCAAGTATAATTTGACTTTTGTAACATCATCGTTAAGAATGCTCTAGGATTGTGTAAAATATCTCGTACCTGCGGAATACGTATCTAGTGGGAATTAAAAAATTTCCTTTAGAGTATGTGACATGATTTTAGAATTCATTGTTCTTGCATATGATAAAACTCTGAAAATGAGCTCGATTTATTACTTTTTAACGACTTTCAATCAATAAAATTCAATACAAATATATAGTGAAACTAATTTTAAACCTGAAATACTTTATAAACATCTGCCGTAGAAGAAAATAATTCCTTTATGAAAATATATTTGCTTTTTGCACATCTCAATGAAAGAATATAATTGGTAACGACTGCACAGGATTCATTCGAACAATAATATGAAAAATAAAAACAACCGAAAAATTAACAAATTTATAAAACTTAATTTTTCAACATGATCAAGATTCTCATCAAAGAAATGTGTGTGGCTTTGAATACTCTTCAACTCCTTCAGCATAAGTGATATATTTATACGATATAGTCCATTATCATCTCACAGCTATATTATGTATATATATATCGTATGAGCCGTTTTTGAACTGTTGAAGAAAACTGATTATAATTCAACATTACTTCCCATCTCCTTTCAATTTTTTTTCTGCTTTGGCGAATAATATTGTCATATCTTTAATTTCAAAACTTGTAGCACATTATATATGTCCTAGTGAAAAACGTGATAAATCATAAAAAACAAGAACAGCTGAACTCTCTATAAAAATGACAGATGTATGATATATACTCTATACATAAAGTAATCATTTACTTCCAATGACTCGGTACTGTAGATAATTCTATTAGACTTATTAGTCATTGTTTCTCATCAGTGATGTTTTCAACATTAATGAAAACAAACTTTTCGAAGGTCTAACGTAATTTGCATGAATACAACAATTTAATTCAAATATAAGATTGATTAGAGATTTGAATGCAATATCGAATTGTATATTGCAAATTGTTTAAGATGATATATCATACTTTAGAATATTCTTGAAGAGGTTGATATGCGTTTGCCGATTGAATTGTTGTGCAGTTCAAAATTGATCGATGATCAACTTAAGTATTTCAAGAACAATAGTACAACAATATAGAAGAATTGAAAAACAATATTAAATTAAGATAGAAGAAATTTCGTGTTTTTTATATCAACAAATCCTCCATAGAAAAACAGTACAATTAAAATAACGGATAGATGAAAATGGTCATGAAACCTATGAACAGTGATAAACTAATGTATGTTTTTTTTAAATAGTTTTAATTTTAAAATATCAAACGACAAAACTATAAAAATAGAACATCATCATATTATTATGACTTCTTTTTAATTATCGTGAAATCTATCAAGCTACAGTTTTGTGGTAATCTAGAACTCAATCAATGGAATAGGCCAACAAAATTTGAGTCGGTCTGTTTTTATTACATGTATAAGCGATAAATTTTAACATCATTTCAGAATCTCTAAAACACTTTATCATACTAATAGTATTAGTGTGATCTTTCTAAACTGTTGAGCATAGACCTTAAGCCTATATAATCATTTTCTGAAACCACATCCTTTTTGGCAGTCTTTGGTTTTCGAAAATAATACAAGGGATCCATCGGGAATTTTTGCCACATATAAAGTACGTAAAATAAGGAAATAATTGTTCAAAGAAAAAAAATTTGAACAAAGCTTTTACGGTTGTTACCGGAAAAATCTGGTTTTCCAAAGGAACTATACCCGCTTCACTTACGAATTCTATCAAATTTTATCTAATGGGAATTAAATATTTTTTCTAGATAAATTTGGCTACATCTCACGTTTGATTTTAAGACCTTCCAAATATCTTGCTGTACTTTTTTTCACGAAACACATACGTATAGATGTGTAACCGAAATTCGGGGCGTTGGCGTTCACGATTCATTAAGTCCGGATTGTAAGGCCAAACATTAAAACCGTCGATATCGCCTCTGCGCTATAATTCAAAGTAGAGATGCAGAAGATTCCGCTAAAGTGAAAATTTTCTCTCAATGCTGTGAAATTCTTTAAAAATCCTTCCTACTACCAAAGTAAAATGATTTTTTTAAAATGTACATATTAAAAAAACCCAAGAGAGGCAAAGCTACTATGCAATCAAAATAACTGGATGAAAAATAAATTAGTTCCATGAATCATTGAATAATACTAATAATCTTGATACTTAGTCATTCCAGAAACACTTTATCATAATTGAAT